AATCCCGCCCCCTTGATAATCGACCAATCACATTCAGTTTATTCACTTGTGTGAAGTCGGGCACCACTCGGGTGAATTTGGAAATGCAACGTTTGGAACGGCTTCTATGATCCACTGTGCAAACAATCATTGCAGAACTTTTTTAGTCAGTGTTGGACCTGATCTGAGGGGATTAAGTTATTTTTCCCAAAAAAAATAAAGGTTCACATTAAAGCTAGTATATTTCTAAATCTTTAATAGTCACATTACACTGCTGAAGCATTATACCAATCTCTACCACAGGAAGGCCGTAAATGCGGATCCCGTTTTGTAATGATTTTTTGATAATTGCAAGAATATCTCTTCAGGCTGTGCTCAATTTCAGAGGTCCCATCCAGGTAGACCGGGTCCTTGGAGGTCTGTGAAAATAAGGAGGCTCTGGATTCAAACAGGTCCATCCTTCTCTGACTTTCAACCAACCGTTTCAATTGACACACAAAGCTGAACTTCTCACTACTGTTCTGGGCACTAATAATATTTCTGAGGAGCTTCAGCAGCAGTACTGTCTCAGATATCAGATTTATAGTCCCCAAACTGCAGAGATGTTGGAATCTGAGCTTAAATGTCAGCAAGACCCATTTACACAGGGACAGATAAACCTTTAGATAAACCAAACATTACCGCCACATATCTGACTCAATAACCATTAAAACAATTATTTTCATTCATTTCAGACGGAACTATTCACAGACTGGAATATGTTAAACTGCACTTCCAATATTCACCACTGTTCGGCGCCATTTCCCCTTTTCCTCTGAGTACAGAGCAGCCAGTTTGCTTGGACTCGCAATGAATCATGGGATACCCAAGGCTATGGAGGATACAGCGGAGCGGACCTGTCCTTCAATACGGACAAAAAGAAGCCTGCATTTGTCGGCCGCATAACGAGGAGTCTTCCAATCAGAAAAGGCCTTGGCGCCGCACTATGACGTAATCAGTTGAACACAGTCTCAAATCAAGTCTTGAACTCAGCACCTATGTTTAAATATCCCTGTAAAATCGATGGGTAGCTACTGGTTTCACAAACGTACCACTCCTGGCTCCAAAAGTGATGGACTATGGACCCACCCTGTAAACGGCAATGCTTTTATCCTCATCAACATTTCTAAAGCATTGGATGGATGGATTTCGCAAAGATAGTTTTTTCCCTTTCAAAGAGCAGACATTGTTTTTTGGTTCTGGAAATACTCTCTTTGCTTCAGCCTTCACTTTGATAAAAAGTCTGTTGAGCCTTTGGTTAAAATAGAGGCAGCGCAGTTCCTACCAAAGGCAATTGAATTTTCTACGCCTGTTCTTTCATTTTACGTGATTCATTTTTCGGCACATAAGCAAATCATGGTAACTATAGGTGGAGACTTTAGCCCAGTAGTTCAGCTCATTGTCTTTCCACTTTACACACATCCACTTAAAGCCCTGGTTGGTAAAACTGCAACAGAGGAATAAGTTTCCACTGCTTCTGATTTGAAGCATTTCAGGATGATCAAAACAAACTCATTCCTCTCTAACAGCCTCTTCTTTCAGGCTTTACTTCAGCTCTGTTCTCACCAGGAAAGGTGGGATTACAGTTGGATGCCTGGATTACTTCATTTGGTTTGGGGATATTATAGAACACAGATTATTTTCTATGACATGCAATATTGATCTTTCAAATAGCTGCTAATCCAGAATGTGATCTTCTTCTAGATTTTTGTTAAATAAAATTACAATGATCTGACTCAGAGAGATTCATCGCCATCGATCTCTGGGGTCCATCTCACAAAGCATTTTTACTCTAAGGTTTCTACACCTGAAAACAGGTAAACTGAGCTTTTCATTTGATGAATAGAGTTTCCTCAATCTCTGTTTTAGTTGCCGTAGTAACATTCTTCCAGAGCTAATCTGGTCAGCAGCAGGTTTTCTTCAGTAAACTCAGAGTTTCCTCTGTCTCCGCTCTCCTTACAGCCAATCACGCTGTTTTATTTCCTGATTTAGTACGATTTTTGTCATAGTTTTGTGCATAAAACTAAGTTTGTTACACAAGAATCTTATTTAAGAATGATCGGCATTAATTCACAGAGAATTAAATATCATTTATAGGGAGAGGATTCTACAACTCAGTTGACAGGATATGAGATTACTTGTTTTTGGTTTGTCTAATATTAGCAACATGCAGATCATTTTATTTTTATTTGTTTAATTTTACAGTACATGAAGAACTACAGAAATTATTTTCAGATTACACATAAATAAATGTATTAATTCCATGGGGGAAAAGGAATCACTTTAGGGTTAGGATTCACTTGGTGATAATAACCTACTGGCACAATCTGAAGCCATTCTATGGTACTGATAACCACTAATAACGGCCATTCATTGGGATGATAACATCTGAAGCGGCTGCAAACAGCCACTTAGCATTTACTGTTTAAAAGAAGACAGAGTCAAACTGAGGATGAATCCCATGAGATGATGAACAGGTTCTATCTATTAGAAGAATGTTTTTATTCTTCATTTTCACCTGCTGCCAGATAAATAGATCCACTACCATTGAAGAAATAAACTGGTATTGTTATTGTGGTAACACTAGGCTATGGCAAGCTAATTTGATATTAGTTTCAGCTCGAGAATAAACATCCTGGATGGCTATAAATTAATTTCAGATCTCCATATTCTTATTGTTACTTATCATTTGTATTGTTTCGACTATGAAGAAATGCATTTCACATATCATAAATACATATTGAGTCAAGCTGATAAATGTCAAAACAGCCACTTCAAAAGTGTAAATATTTCTTAACATATACAAATTCTTACTAGTATAATTTTTTTTTTTAACTTGCTGAAATTCAGTTTCTGCTGCAAAAATGTAATTTAGAAAATATATTATTACAGTTTAGCATAGGCATGTTATTTTGATCATCAAGGATCTTATTTTAGTGATCTACAAATGGAACCACAGAGAGTAGAATGCTTTTAATAAATGTAAGTATGGCCTGCCACAGCCCATTTTATATTAAGCTACGCATTAACCGAGCAGCAATCTTCTCCTTCACCAACTTCCTCTCCTTTGCAGCTGTAGCTCTGTCTTTTAAACCAATTCTCTTTTTTTTAATTTCTTGATTAAAATCTCTTGTTCCAGTCGGGTGAAAAAGGGACTTCCTGATAATAGCTCCACTGATAATAGTTTTTCATACTTGCCAATCGCGCGATTAACTCTGATTGGCCCTACCTAGAGTTGATTGAAATAATTCATAACAGCTGTTGTGAAACCAAAAACCAAAAAGAGTTCACGGTCTTAGGCTAGATCAATTTAGAGTTGCGGATTTAAATCCGAGTTTGTTAAACCTGCTTTGTGAAACGGACCCCAGATCTGCTGCAAACTTTCCTCTATTTCCCCAAACTTAAAGGACCCTTTTAGATAAAGCCTCTAAGGGTCTCCTTAAAGATGCACAGCAGGAAAAAACACCTCCATGAAAAGGAAACCATCGGCCTTCTTTCTTCTAAAAGCATCAGGTGTTTTTACCATGGCAGCAACGCAACATCATGTGAGGTTCCATCAGCAATGAGGAAAATGCGCTTCCAGACGTGTTTTTGGACACGTTTCTGGAGGATCCCTCAGCTTCCTGTTTTGCACCAACAGCTGCTTGAAGAGAGTCTGTTTGACAGCGCTGCTGATGGTCTGATGGCTGCTCCACTGCTGCGCCATCGCATCAGAAGGTTTGAGCCAGACCTCAGAATACCACAGAGCTCCAACGTTTTCTCCATTGGTAGACCACTGATGAACTGATGCTGCTTGATTGCTGCTGATAATAATCAGGTTAAAACATGACTGACAGTTTAAACTGTTGTTTCCATCTGGTCTGAGGCACCAGCTTTCTACTACTCCTCAGCAGGAAAAACCCTTTCTTCTCAGCTACTGAATACCAAAAGTCACTCATGTCTGACACAATCATTCTTCAGATACCAAGAACTAATGTTTGCTGCGGTATTGTAAGGAGGAAATGTTAAATTCAGTGAATAACAGTAGAAATGTGTGGAGGTGTTTCCAGGTATTCAGTACAGCCTCTGAGGAGATGTTAAGGAAGCCCGTCTGGATTTGACAGCAACCCTCAGATGATCATCTGGACATTAGCTGAGAGATTATCTCACCCACTCTGATCAAAAACATTCCTCAGCTATGAACCCTTGAGCTAATCCTTCCAGTAGAGACATGATATGTTCTGATCCCAATCACTGCAGCTCAGCTCATGAAACCAGCTACTCTGTGCTCTTTAATGATCAGCTGCATCCCTGCAGCCAGTTTCTAACAATGGCAGAATTTCATAACTGTTCAAAGGTTACTGATCATCATTTTCTGGATCTATTTGGGGCTTTCCTCTTTGCACCCAAGCTGCAGGGAAACCTGAGTTCTGTCCAGACCTCAGACACAGCAGGGCTGAAGGTTTAAACTTTACACATTGAATAAGCCGACTTCCAAACAAAGACCCAACTTTTTCTGTTATTTTATTTTCCACACAAGTGTTCTAAACCAACTCATAAAAGGAGTTACAGTGTGGAAAATAAGTATATTAACACTCTGCTATTTTCCAAGTTCATGGAAATCATGGAAGGGTCTGAAATTGTCATTGTAGGTGCATGTCCACTGTGAAAGACATAATCTAAAAAAATAAAAAATAATCAGAAATCACAATATATGATTTTTTATATGTATTTGAATGATATAGCTGTAAATAAGTATTTGAACACCTGAGAAAATCAATGTTAATACTTGGTAGAGTAGCCTTTGATTGCACTTACAGGTCAAGCGTTAAACATTTCTTGTAGATTTTCCCCAGGTTTGCAAACACTGTAGGATTGATTTTGGCCCACTCCTCCATACTGATATTCTCTAGATCAGTCAGGTTCCTGGGCTGCTGCTGAGAAACATAGAGTTTGAGCTCCCGCCAAAAATTCTCTATTGGTTTTAGGTCTGGAGACTGACTAGGCCACACCAGAACCATGATATGTTTCTTCCAGAGCCACTCCTTGTTGTGTGCTTTGTGTCATTGTTATGCTGGAAGACCCAGCCTCCACCCATCTTCAATGCTCTAACTGAGGGAAGGAAGTTGTTCCCCAAAATCTTGCAATACATGGCCTTGGTCATTCTCTCCTTAATATAGTGCAGTCGCCCTGTACCATCTGCAGAAAACATCCCCAAAGCAAGATGCTACCACCTCTATGCTTCACAGTAGGGATGCTGTTCTTGGGGTGATACTCATCATTTTTCTTCCTCCAAACATGGTTCGTGAAATTATGACCAAAATGTTCTATTTTGGTCTCATCTGACTACATGACTTAATCCCATGACTCGTGTTCTGGCCTCCGTGTTGTTCTGGCCTGATTTCTCACCTTTCTTAGGACCACTAAGAACCCATGAGGTGAGATGAGATGAAGACTGACAGTCATGTTTAGGTTTTTCCATTTTCTAATGATAACTCCAAAAGTGGACATTTTTTTTATCAAGCTGCTTGGCAATTTCCCCGTAGCCCTTTCCAGCATTGTTGGGGGTGTGTCTTTGGACAGCTCTTTGGTCTTGGCCATGTTAGTATTTGGATTCTTACTGGTTGTATGGAGTGGACAGGTATTTTTATGCAGGTAACGACCTCCAACAGGTGCAACTATTTTAGGATAGTAAATGGAGTGGAGGTGGACATTTTGAAGGCAGACTAACAGGTCTTTGAGGGACAGATTTCTAACTGATAGACAGGGGTTCAAATACTTACTTTTCAGCTGTATCTGTCATGATCTTAGTGCTGATGACTGGATATATTACTCATTTCATTCATCTGCCTAACTCCGCCCAGTTTCTTATTACCGCTTATCTGATCCAACTACTCCAGCCTCTATTTAACCAGCCCACTAACCAGTCATCAGTACCAGATTATTCTTGAGCCTGTGGTGAGAGTTTCTCTAAGCGTTACTGATTGCCTGATCCTAACCCCTTCTGCCTTTGGACCTCTGAGCCTGCCTGTTCCCGCTCTGATCTGTTTGCCTGACCTGTCTTCGGACTCCTGCTGGGTTCTGCATGGTAACCAAACTTGGAACTTATTCCTGACACTGTTCTGGATTTCCCTTCAAATCTTTGGACCTCTGATCAGATCTCCTGGTTCTGAATCCTGAGCATGTCCTGGACATGGCTTTGGCTTCACCCTCTGGATTATCCTCCCTTCCTTTATCTGCTCGGATCTGATCTCCTGCTTGTTCTCTGCCCTCCGGGACTTCAATGTCTGGGACTCTCTTTGCAGCACCCTCCCAGTCTTGTTTGCAGTCGTTCGGCTGTAACTAACCTTGTTCTCTGGGCCCAGACTGAATTTTAAGACCAGGTTAGTGACTCACATGTTCATATTCCTCCAGATAGAGGTGGTCACTAACCTGGGTTTTCTTCCTGCACAGGTTTCTGCCTTAAACGCCCTCGCTGCCAATCCATCATTTTAAATAAACACTTTTTGAGAAATCTGTATGTCTGCCTTGAATACTGAGTTCTCTGTTCTGAGCCATGGCAGTATCATACAAGTAACTAGTCATATATTGTGATTTCTGGATTTGTTTATCAGATTATGTCTCTCACAGTAAGACACGGACCATTGAGGCGACTCGTACCAGAACATTTTAGTATCTGGAGCTGCATCCTGTGGCTGACTTGCAGCAATTCCAGTTTGGACTAAACTGGTTCATCAGGAGGGAGACCGTGAACACCCCTGCAGAGCAGGTTAGGAGTTTCACTTCCTGCACTTAGGAAGCTACAGGCCTAATTTATCCAGCTACCAATACTGGATGTTGAAATGAAACTCTAAGATTTTATTAAAGGCTGAGGTCAGAGGTCTTGCTTTAAGCTATAACTGTCATAAAGAACAGAAATATGTCCATGTCTGTGGAATCATTTATCTAATTTAGAGAGATAAAATTTCATTTGTGTTATTTATTTGTCATTTTATTTGTTTTCTATTTTTTGTTCATTTTTTCCACACTCATAGTTTAAAAAACAGATGGAAATATTAGTGAAAAATTTATTTTCTAGAATCTAATTCCTCTGTAGACGGACAGTGGAAATATCTAAGCCAGGCCATCAGTTTTCTGAATGAAACATCAGCAGATATGATAGAATATAAAAACTATAACAAAGGCATAAAAATGTATTTTTGACATAAAACTCTGAACATGCTCTGTTTCAGGGCAAATGCCTGCATGACATCTGAAATTAATGACACAAAGCGAAACATCGCAGCACCTGTGAGGTTAAAAAAAGAAAATGTACGGCTAAAGTGTCCACTATCAGGGATTTAGAGCGCCACCTAGCAGCAGTATGCATACAAAAGGTCACAGCTGAGTTATGGCACCTTTTTTACTCATCTTCTGAATGAAACGTTTGTCATTTTCATGCAGTTATAAGCAGAGCGTTGAAGGCTGCTGCTGAAGCTGGGGGCAAAATAACACCAATGTTTTCCCTTTAACTGCACCCCCCTCCCCCAACTCGGAACACAGCTAAAAACAATAGATCTTAATAAATAACAATGATGTTCAAATAAAAAACTTAGGCTTAAGGCCTAAAAAAGGGACGTACATATGTTTAGAGTGATGCTTTATGGCACAAAATCCTAACCCTCACTATCTACTGCTTGGCATGGATTTCTGAAAAGAAACTAAAGCCCTCGACAGCATGAGACAAGGAGAAGTTCAAATATTTTAGAGCTGTTTGTTTTTTGTTTTTTTTGCTCCATTTCAAACAGCTGTGAGAGCAATGTAGCCTAGAACAGCCTAAATCTTTAAAGGTAACCAAACCATCATCCAGATGGACCCGTCCTCAGAAGGAAACTAGTTCAAGGCTTTCTCTGTCATTTTTGATTTAAAATGTTATCTCCAGGTTAGTTTACGAAGTTACTTCCACACAGCAGGAAGTACATTGCAAAAGCATTCACTGCTCAGAGAGAAAAAGCAAAGGAGGGTAGCTGGTTGTCTCCAATGGTTATGTGGTCTGTGCGCTCTGAGGTGTAGCAGGTGAGCAGTAACATCGTCCTTATATGTGAGGGCGATCATACATTGGAAGGAGCTGTAAACGTGTGTGTGTGTGGGGGGGGGGCTAATCGAAATGGGCTTCTCTCAGAAAACAGGAGCTCAGTCTGAGGAATTTCAATCATCCAGTGGTTGAAGGATTAAAGGGAAGTTTGGGAAAACTGAGATTAATAATCACAACCTGCCTCTTTTTAAGAAAACTAGAGTAAATGTTGAACGATTATCTCAAATTTAAGCAATGTTAAGAAGGGGATACTGGTCGACATTAGACGATGCAGACACTGTTTGTGTCCACAACTGGAAAGTTAACTGAGACAAAAGGTTTTAGACTAGAATATGCATTTTTATTTCACTAGAAAAAGTGAACCTGAACTCTGTTCAGGTTCTTCTCTAGAGTGACCCAGGTTAGTGTCAATCTGCTCACAAAAGCTAACCGAATAAACCGCGTCGGAAGCTACCGACTGAACCATAAAACATACTCTGGTCTTCATCAGGTGGAAACTGCATAAACTGACTGTTGTCTTGTATAGCTGGGAGGATGTTGATGGAACGGTAATGGCAACAAGCCTTTCAGAGGAAGGTGCCATGGTCTGAGTCCATGTGGTCCATGCTAGCTAAAATGGCCTTCTGGTCCTCCCGTGGCGGACGGCGGTACAGCAGAGCGGAAAAGCGAGCGTATGGATCATGAAGAATGGGCCGTTTCTTCTTCTTGCAGAGGTAGAGCGCTTCTTCGGGCGGGAGTACCTGAGAGGTGTAGGCCTGCTGGGTCTGAGAGGTGGAGACACCTAGAGAAACAAATATTCCCAATCACTGCTAAACACTGATAAGCACACTTCGCTGTTAGTACCATAATAATCAGGTTAATTAATATCACATATAAACAGACAACAGAATTATTTCGGTCCAAATCTATTTATCATAATGAAAAAATCAACAGTTCAGCACTAGTTGGCTAAAAAAACAACCATATATATATATATATATATATATATATATATATATATATATATATATATATATATATATATTTATATATATTTGGACGTTGAGATAAGAAGTAAATGAAGTTGAGGGGTTCCCACTAGGTACCATATGCATTGCCCTCCACTGCTTTTTGCCTTACCTCATTCTGATGAACCTGGTCTGTCTTGTGTCTAGTTGTACGTTTTCAGTTCTACTCAGCGGCAAAGTGTTTGAGCAGTCATCTGGATTTTTCTCTTGGGGTGAAAAAAATTGTGCATACCTGCTTTCTTTCTAGTCTTGGAGTTGTTGTTGTTCATGGTTGTCTTCTTGGCTTTTTTAATTCGCTGGTATCTCAGTGCATCGCTCCTCTCAGACCCCAAATGAGCACTTGATGCACCTCGACGTTTTCTAAATGAAGGGGAGAGAGAGGGGAAACACGGGTAACTCTAGGCCGATTGCGGTTAGCATACCGAGAGCATCCCCACCCCTTACAGGACTACTTGAGTTAAAACCAGGAATAAAACAGCACTAAAGGATAAACATATATTGTCTCAATAACTTTAACCAAAAAACAGAAAAAGTGGGAAATTATAACTATCGCCATCATGGCCATCATGTATAATAAAACAAATATATTTAAATAAACGATAAAAGGTGCAGCTAGAATCTAATTTTTTAATTTACAACAACATTTTATTTTCAGTAAATTATACAATCAGTATTTTGTTGTAAGTTTTAAAATCTTTATCTCAGCACAGCAAGCTATTTCCTATCTCACACAACCAGCAGGGTGCGCTTACAGCGCAGGTAAAACCCCTGAATGATGTTTCATAGAGGATACATGACATTTAAGCTGGCCTCTAACTGTTATTTTCAGAGAAATAGTATTCCAGAAGGTATCCATAACATGATATATAAAAAAAAATGTCTGAATGACTTTTTAATTGGTAATTTATTGTTTAAATGATACAGCTCTGAAAGTAACGGTTGCAGAGGCTATCTTGGTAAGTATTGTATATCTGGCAGCATCTCATCACCCCCCTTCTGTTTATTGGAGGCAGACAGAATATGGCAGCCCACTGATCTCTGCCACAAACACAGAAAACAATTAGCATTGCAAAGAGGCCTTCTTCCCACCGCGGCTGCAGAGAGAAACCAAATGTTGTTAGTAGAGGGGGAGAATCACAGCTGAGCGACAAAGCATCATCAATATGTGTTCATAGACATGGATACTGTCTACAATGGGCTTCACCATGCTGACAGGGGGAGAGATGGCGGGAGGGGAAAATGACTACTCAGGAACAGTCACATAATGAGAAATAAGCCAAAGAAAAGCAAAGCACCAGGACAACAAATGTAACAATTTTCTTTTTTTTTTTTTTAGAATTATTTTGGTTTTGAAACGGAGAAGCAATATTTAGCAATGGCATGCATGGCAGTTTGCACATGGAACATGACTTTAAAGGGGAATACATTCAAAAGCACTTTATTGGGCACTTTGGTATTATTAGATGGGTGTCACTGACCCTCTGAGTGCCTGACTTCTGCAAAATATTTGTTCCTTAAAATAAAATCAAGTAGGTGAGCATGTATAGGCGGACACAGAGTAATCGGTTCTGCAGTCCAAACCTACAGGCTCATAGGCACGGTTGCTTTGTGCATAGTATTACATCCATGTGTTGACCTCTGTCTTGGGGTGATGACTGATTTAGCTTTGGGGAATATGTGAACAGTCTGTTAAGAGTAATTGTGCTTCATCACCTTCAGGACAAGCAGTGGTATGTGAGCTGAAGCCACAGGTGGACTATGGCCAAAGTGACGGCTTCATTAATCTATGTTACCTTATGTTGAACAGGAAATATTTATATGGATCACTCAAATTTAATTCAAATCTAAGTTATTTCAATAGTAACAATGTTTAACATTTCAAATATTCTTTTATTTGTTAAAACTGTTTTCCAAGTAGGGGGGATTGGTTTGCAGAATAAATACTAAGACCGAGGCTGAAAGTCATTTCATTAAAACTGTCTCCTGCTTAATGTTTACCCCTTCTTTTGTTGTACTCTATAATAGTGATCATCAAACTACCTCATAAGCTTGCAAACAGATGTACAAACAGCAGCAGTCTAACTTAGAATCTCTGTTTTTTAACACCAGACTCCACAATAAAACATCCTTTCACTGCAGACCACAATGTCTGATTTCTGACCAGCAGTAGTAAGCCGATGGGAAAGGATACAGAAGGCATTTCACACAGGATTTCTAAACACCATTTGGTGATATTTAAAGATGTACTACTCAAGACATTTCATAAAATTACTACCAGTTCTAGTCTGTGAGGTCCAGGATTCTATCCTGCACTTCTCAAGTGCATTGAACACATCCGGCCCTCCCTGCTCAGAGACAAACTGAATAGCATGGCAGTGGACCCCTGCCTGGTGGCATGGATCTCCAGCTATCTCACAGACGTCAGGCTGAGAGACACCATCTCTGACACTGTGGCCAGAAGCACTGGAGCCCCCCAGGGCACAGCTCCTCCCCAAATGCAGGACCAACGGACTGCTGAACTGCTTTGTTCCTCAAGCCATCAAGCTGTACAACTCTTCACTTGGGTTAAGGAGGAGGTGATGGGAAGAGGGCAAGATGTCCTTTATTACCTATTTTCACCAATGTGCAATAGTCTTCTCTCTCACTGTGAAATAACTCATGCAAACTACTATGTAGCCTGTGTAATATTTACTTATTTATAAGGTCAGTACATTTCTGCAGTAAAGGTACAATAACCCAAGCCAGCTACAGTGTAGTCTTCCTTTAGCTCTCTACTGAGCAGATTTCTTTCTAAGGGAAACATATTCCAGGACATTACAATTTTTTCTTTTTTTATGCTTTTTTGGTACTGTATAACCTCTTTTCATATTGTCTGTTTTATCTTTTTATCTTTAATGGCATCTTGCTTTAACTGTTTGTACTCTATATAAGCTAATGGAACCAGAATTTCCCTGAAGGAGTAATCCCAAGGAATATATAAAATTTAGTCTAATTCTACTTTTTAGGCAAGGCTTAAAATTTTCCTTTTTGATAAAGCTTATATTCAGAGTGGCTCAGGTTATCCTGAGCTATCTCCATAGCTATGCTGCTATAGGCTTAGACTGCTGGAGGACATAGGGACCCCCATTTCTTCATTCTGCTTCATTCTATCTCTATTCTCCCACTCTGCAGAATCTGTTAGTTCAATCTCTAACGTTCTGCTCTCTCTGCTTTTTCTCATAGTAGCTTCTTCTGGTCTGTTTCTGTTTGGCTGTGACTCCATCCTGGAGAGAAATATCAGTTGTGCTGCTGCCATCAACACCATCTATTATGGATCATAGCGTTAACTAGCTGTTGAGTGGCTCTGCCTATGGAGCTGGTTGACAGTTGCCTTTTGTATTTCGTCTGCTTATTTGTTTCTTTACCACAGAGCCACTTGTGGAGCTAGCTTACCGTTAGCTTGTCTAACATAGAAAGTACTTGCGCCTGCGCAAAGCCTGCAGCCTCCGCTGCTTCTCTCATCCTGCTCCGCTCAGACCTCCCTGGAGCTCGAGAAGAGCATGCGCAATATCATTATTATTAAACTTGTAGGAGCAAAACAGGAAAAAAATATGAACACTTAATTCAATATGCAACTTTAAAAAAATCCCCATCAGAATCTAGCATATGTGTTTCTGCCCAAATATTTTTTTGTTTTTATTGTGGATTTTTGTAACAGGAATAACTAGGATTATATAACATTGGTTTGCATGAACTATGTTTGTTCTCTACCTCCAAACTCAGCATCTCTTCTCGCCGTTCTTTTTCTTGTTTGGTGCAATTGTAATTTCGGATCTTGACCTAGCCGGACCGGAGCAAAAAGTACCTCAGCTCCATATTTTAACAGTGAAAGACGGGTAAGACGTACATGAACGGTGCCAGGTGGAGGAGCAGCTGTGGATGTGGTTCTCATTGATTAACATGAAAGACAAGTACTCCGCACATTGTATGTGAGCGGAGCAGGGCGCTGACGGAGGATGTGGGATATGGGGGTTAGCGGGAAATCTCAAATATCTGACACGGATAAAACTTCTCAGCTATAGGCCACACCCCTTTGGTTCCATAACCACATAAGTTAAAGACACCTGTATCAAAGTGACGACCAAGGCCTGTGATATATTTATCTATGATAGGAGCAATCAAAGGGATCCACAATGAGGAGTCTTTGGGTGTGTTTGTGTCCAAGATCTTCCAGTGATCTGAAATGACCATGAGTCAAATCAGTAGGTTTTACTGCAGTGGGTCAAACAGGCAAAGCACCCTGCCTTCAAGTTTTTGACTCAGCTTTTACAAATAATAGTCATAAAACGATCAAATAATGACTGATACCATCCTGGTGGCATAGTTCAGTGGAGCAAATGGTAAAACTAATGGGCTAAAGGAAGAAGACAAAATGAAATGCACATTAAACTGCAGTTTGTCACAAAGTTCTTGTGTGTTTTAGCAAATCAACGTGAAGACGTGAAGAAGTAAGAGGAGAATGTGTTTTCACATAAGCAAAGCCTCTTCCCCACTGATAGCGGGTTAACGTGTTTTTCAAATATGGGTTGACTTGCTAACAATCCCGCTGGCAGCAGCGCGGCCTCTGTCCCTGCAGCTGTGTGTCTGGTGACACCATGACGCTGGGTTAGCATTGATGATGTTACCAGTGCGACTGAAATCAAGAAAATAAGCAAAGGAGAGCAACATGGAGGAAGCCAGGGTGAAGTGAGTGTACTTAATAGTTTCACTCTTTTATCTGTCCAAATCCCTCTCACCAGAGCTGCTCCATGTTTTTCAAAGGTAAACAGAGTTGCCTCTGCTCGTTAGACAAGAAGCGACTGGCGGTGTGTGTTGACGTCCGTATTTCGGTTCAATGCTTAAATTAGCAGGTTACACCTCTGGTGTTCAGCAGGCTGATCAGAGCCAAGGTGATTTTACCGCGGCTTGCTTGCCGAGTCGTTTAACCTGGGTAGACATGGGTCAGTAAGATGTTCCCACTGCCACTAAAAGCAGATTGTTACCGAGTTTTAACAGTTTTTTTGGCCAGTGGGAAAGGGGTACATGAGACCAGAAGAACATCAATCTTCAAACAGACACCTGCAGGACTACTAGCATCCAGTTGCAATGACATAACCTTTCCAGTTATTATAACCATAACATCGCAACCATAAACAACAATATATTTTCTCTGGATTATAGAAAATCCCTTTATTGTCCAACAATGGGGAAATTTTGGGCTATATGTACTAAACTGTAACTTTACGTGACAACACCAACTTATATTATCTACACATACAATAAAAATAATGTCCATGTGTAATCAGACCCCTTATTCTAATACCAAAAAGTCTGTTCACTAGGAAAGACCTCAGACATTTCTCAAAGAGTAATCAGTATCATGTAGACTGGGGACCATAGCAGACTGGTCAATGAGAACATTGTAAGCCAGGGCATCCTTGATAACTCAGAAGAAGCTAGCAAGATCCAAAAGGTCTGTTGACAAGACCACTAAAAAGATAACTCAACAAATCTGGACTTTAATGAGGAGTATCAAGAAGACCAATATGAAAGGTATCCAAAATCTTTCTTCCTTAGCCAAAATGCAGAAGTAATATGGATGTCCAAATTCTGGCCAAAGAAGACCGAGTGTTTGAGCGAGGAGTCAAGGAAGCAATCTTTGTTAACCTGAAAACACCATCTCTTAACAGAGGAGGTGGTCATAGACATAAACTTTCACCTGCTTACAAATCACTTTTAGGAACAATACCCAGAAAATTCACCTCGCAACTGCCTGACTTCATTGAGGCATGTGACCAAAACTACTCTGACGAGGGAGTTAACTACCATCAAAACTCCCTAGTGACCATTAACCCCTCAGCGGTGACCTCCATGTCCAATCCAGTACGAGGAATCAGAGCTACTGTACCTTTTGATGTCCCTAATTCTTTGTTTCACCTACAGTATATTAAAGGGGTCATAGAATGCAAAACCCAAGTTTCCATTGTCATAGATGAATAACCATAGTTCAATGGGTGAAATGGACATACAGAGAAGTTCAAACCCCATCGAAACCTCCTCTCTCTTCAAATCTAACAATTCTAAACTTCCACCATAAAACGGGCAAATTAAACAAAGCCCCAAGTTGACGAAAACTCTGAGATGTTGCCTTATTTGGTTCTGGCCTTTTGTCCCCCCCCCAAAATTTACATACAGGCCAAACCATTGGTTCACTGGCCCAAGGGAGGAGGACGGTATGAAGTGTCGACTGCTGGGCCGCTGACTGGACTAGACCTCAGCAGAGAGCCATGAGCCACCAGTCCTCAGCCAGAGGAAGGGGGCTGGGGGCCGGTAAGGCAGGCGGAGGGAAGTACGGGTCCGCTGGTGTCCAGGCTACCGTCACTGGGTAGGGTGACGCTCTGTGCCCCTGCTGGCTCATTGCCCCTGTCCACTGGGGTGAGTGCTTGTTGCTATGATGCATCTTTGCTCAGCAGCTTCACTCATTGTAAACCAACCAATCAGCGCACAGCTCATCTAAATATTCATGATCATACCATAAAAGGAAGAAAACCTGTTGTTTCATTCTAAGGCTTTTAACCAGGCTTGCGTTAGGGATCATAGAACAGCAAATATGCCATTTTTAGCCCAACCAATGTTAAACTCCCTTAAGGTCCAGCACCAAATAGTCTATATAATCATTCTATGACCTCTTTAAACTCAGTGCCCCTCACCACTAGTTAGAACTAAAGAAGCCTCTTGGTAGAGGTGAAACGTCTTCTAGCAAACTTCACGTCCTGTTGCCTAAACTGAACCTTTCAAGCTTGACCATGATCTGGATGACTGAAAATCTTCACAGATAAAGAAAAAAACATGGTAGAAGATGCTCTGAATAGATAAAGCCAATGCTAAACTTTTTGTCATACCATCAAATCATTAAAAAGTAAGTAAAATTAACAATTCACATCACCCTGACCACACATTTCCTTCCATGAAATACACTGAAAACACAGGATGGTTTAAGGTTTATGTGGGGATTTTATTTCTCCAGCAGCAACAAATGTGCTAGGTGTTTCTGAAAAAGATGGATAGAGATGAACTTAAAAAAAAAAAAAAAAAAATCCAGAATGAAGGCCCATAACAGGCTGCTAAAGGACGACAACTACCCTACAGCCACAGGAATATGGACCAGCTTAGAGTAGAAATTCACAGTCAAATTACAGGTCTGAATTATTTTGCAAATCTGTGGCAAGGCTAGAAAATTACTGCTCACAGATGATCACCATTCATGCTGAGGGAGCTTAAACTACTTAAGGCCCCCCTACATACTTGTGTGGACATATTTCTGCAAACGTCCACACAGATTCGAGGCAGACTACTGTCAACAGTTACCCACAAAGCTCAACTTTTAATACAGTGCTCTAGATGCCGAGATAGGCAGATAACTACTGCTCATAAGGAACAAGTATTTTGTTTTAAAGTAAATGTGCCACCAAGCTGTCAAAGCTTCCCAGGCAACAGCTGGTAAATACACACAGCTGAGAGCATCCAGTCACAAGGACCCGCAGCTTCTCAACAATTCTCTCCACTGTCATGTTTGGAGTTGGTGCTCTGGTGGAGAGAAAGTGGTGTAAGGTGTCCAGGTAGACTTTGGTTTGGTTTTGTAAAGCTAGAGGGAAAGCTTGATTGATGACACCATGGGAGTTTGGGAAATGAAGAAATTTGTCATCATAAATGTAGGAATAGGAACACTGGACTATAAGGGCTGAAATATCCATGCCTGGCCTGACAGTATGAGTACAGTCTGCATAAGTATGTGGAAGCCTTTAGTGAAGAAGAATGGGAAAATCATTTGGTAAAACCATGGGCAAAAAGTCTTGCACCAAAAAGGTAATTTCTAAAGAGCAAAATGGGAGTAAATACAATTGCAAACTTAATTTTAGGGGGAGGTTTAAAAAGAAAATGGACCTAATTTTTTCCCAACTTTAGGGTTAAGGATATATGACTCAAGTTGGAGACACAGTTTCTCCAAAGGAGTGAAGAAGATATTTCTCTAAGGATTGGACTAAACTCAATACCTGGACGTACTGGCCATTGACTCGAATGCAGATAGTAACAGTGTGAAGTTGCAGTGATCTGTTAGCATAGTGTACATTTTCCTTTTGTAAGGGGTTGACTGAACAGATTGCTATATGTAATTGTTTCCCATTAAAAAGCAACTTTAGCGTGTCAAGGTAGCAAGTCATGTTTCTAATACCTCTTTATCCTGCTCCCTTGGATAGATGGCATATGCATCTTAATCAGAATGCATAATGTACCTGAGGCTGCAGAATGTAAAATGCATAGCCACTTTGACAAAAAAATAAAATAAATAAAATCTATTGAACAAAAGAAACAAGTACTGAGTAACGGAAGGAACAAATCAAACAAAGATTCAAAGCCTTGTATTCCCCTTTAAAGGACGAGGTGATCAAAAAGTCCCACCTGCTAACCCCCCCCTTTCAGACATGGATCCAACCCTTACCTATTGCGGTGTAGAGGACCTGGTCACAACAACGCTGCCCAGATAGCTGAGATCAATCAAAAACAAAGCAGGTAAGACTCCAGGAGTCATTAAGAACCACCACACTGCCCCTAATTCATAATGATGGAGACATTGCAGTACATGAGAAGCGGACAGGCCCTGAGACACACTTTGCCCAAAAACCTCTCCTTGGTGGTCAGACTGTGGTGGGGACCTGGTGACACTTAGAAGTTTGGGGACAGAAATGTGATAGAAAGGGAAACAGAAGGTGGGTAGGAAAAATCTGAGAGGTTGCAAGGTAAGGTAGATTTGATCGTGCAATCAAAGGCTGAGGATGGGCCGCAGGGCCTGCCAAGATGAACTCTTCTTAAAGCATCCTTCTGCTCAATAAAGGCACTTTGAAAGGCTTGCACTAAGCATAATAATGGTGCTTCTTCTAAGGCATTAATTAGATGAAAAATATGGGGCTCCGCCTGTTAAGTGAAAGCAGGGTAATGCATGATACAGATGAACAAACAGGATCGTAAATGATGTCTGACTGTAAGGACTGTAGCTCTTAAAGGTCTTTCAATGAAATATATGACTACAGTGCATTTCAATCCAGCTAATATTTGCTGGGGAAGGTTTAATACTTTTTCTTTTATTACTTTATAATCTAGCTGGTCAACCTGGAGACAGTGCCTCACAGATGTAGTGGGTGAATACCTCAAACCTGATGTTTGAGATTGAAAGCAGTGTCGGCAAATCTCAAACTACAAGCTAACATCCCAGAATGCAAAGTTATTGTTACAAATACTGAATCGTGTAGTTTTTATTTTCATATCTTATAAAAAGCAAACATGACTATGAAACCACTAATCAAATAAAGAATTTTAAAGACAATTAGATGTCCAATTTAGTGGCCAAATGTCAGAGTTACTTGCCACATTAAAGCATTATGGGTTAAGGCAGATGACACAAATGGAATCCCTCTCTGCATGCCTAAACAACCTACCCTGAAGCTGACAACCGGGATGGGGAGGGCTCAGATGGAAGGAGCTCCTCTTCAGTCCTCCTATGAGCTGGCATCTGCCCAAATATGCCACTGCATTCCATGGGGGACGATGGGGACTGGGAAGCTGAATAACTTGTTGCAGAGGTGGCAAAAGCCATGTGGGAATGGTAGCAGGAGCTTGCTCTCCTGCTACCCTGCCCTTGAGCAGGTGATGAGTTTGGTGATGATCTCCTTGAAAAGCTGGCTGTGGAAGGAGGGAGCAGGGTCATTTCAGACATCCCTGTGGGTGCAGGAGGCTGCACAACACTTGGACGTGGGCGGGGGCGTACTACAATCTCTGGGGAGCCCTCTTGAGAGCTAAGAGGGCTTTGGGTGAGGGGTGAAAGTCGAGATGGTTGAAGAACCACCTGATGCAGGCCAGAATCCATTCTACGAGTCTGTCTGGGACTAAAACGAGGGGTAGTTTCAAACCATCGTGTATCCAGGTTACTGAATGAACTAGGGACAATATGAGCCAATGGATCACTATAAGACAAAACAGGCACACCCATACTACGGCCCGAAGGTCTTAGCTGCCCTAAATGTGCCTCTTGCATAGCTAAATGCCTGGCTGGGGAGCCATGAGGCCTGGTCTTGCTGGGAGACTTGCTTGTATGACCTTTGGGGGCCTCGAGCGGCAGGACGGCTGGGTAGGTAGGCATCGGAAGGGTGGAGTGCTGGAAAGCACTAAGGGGAAGAACATGAGGTGGAGAGGCATAGGGAGGGTCATGGCGGGGATGCAAAGGGTGGTGAGGGGGAAAAATAAACTGAGGCCCTTCCAGGCTTGAAAACGTAAAATCTAGTCCCTGCCAAATATCTGGTGAATGAGAGGAAGTGGTTAGTGTTAGAGGAAGGGGGAAACTTGAAACAGCATATTGTGGAAAATCTGACTCTACAACGTCTTCAGGAATCATGGGATGCACAAAAGGACCCTCAGGAAAGTATGGAGGAGAGGACATGACCGACCTCAGAGGGCTAGTGTCAGGCAGGTAGAAGGGAGGTGGGGGATCATGATCTCCGGGCGGTCCTAGATAGCCATAGAAAGCTCTGTGGTGGAGAGAGCCTCGGATCTGTCCAGTGGCCTGAAGCTGACTGCTCTCCATGATGGTCATACCTTCAAAGGGCCTGTGAAAGCGGGGGCTGTAGGCTGGAGGCTGGAGATATGATTCCTGACTGGAGATTGGGGAAATCTGGTGGGGTCGAAGTGGTGCCATAACAGGTGGAAGAGGTCTGGGATCATCATTCTCTTCATCTGATTGCCGGAATTCCGGATAAAGGTCAGATTCCTCCACAAAGGGGAAACCCTCGATGCGCCGGGGCTTGACTGACATTTCCGCATCAGTGGGATCGATGACAAAACGTCCATCTGGGCCTCGACTGATAAGTTCAATAGGTGTTGTTGGTTCAGCTTCATGTTTGGACATGTACCTCTTGCTTGTTATTGCTCTTTTGGTCTTCATGTACAAGGATAAGTCTTCCCTCTTTCCTGGACGGGGAGGTGGTTTCATTCCACGCTGGTCGTGACTGTCTTCAGATGATTCTGATGGGGATGCCTTTGAACGTGTGCTCTCCGGACTCACCTTTCCGGAAGATGACCTAAATCCAAAATACACAGGTAAATATGAAAAAATTATTAAAAAGCCAGTATTTTCTGTCTAAAGTTGTGCTGAAGATGTTTCGCCTACATAAAAAAAAGAAACATGACATGACAAGAAGATAACGCTTACATTTCAGAATACAATTGTGACAAACATGAATATCCGTCAGACTGTGCTACAATCTATTGTTGAGACTTGAGTGTAATGCAATAAAGGAAGTTGTTTTTGAGCATTTTACAGAGTGGAGAAGCAGAGGTTTGGGTGGTGCACAGAAGGAAGGGATATTATACAGTAAAGAGAATCCTACTGAACGGCATTGCAACTATTTAAGAACGATAACTGACAACAAAAATATACCAGATAAAAAGCCCAGTTTGATGCATTTACTACCGCATGACTATATTTTCCACTTACCCTAAAACAATAAGCAATTTTCTGAACTTCAAATATGTTTTTTGTGATGGCTAGCCATACATGAGCTAACCCTCGGTTTACAAAATTGGGAAATAATCTGGTTACATGGTTAGATAATTGCAAACTCAGTTTTAATATCTATTAGATTTAAAATGGCTGTATTGTAAATAAGGTTACAAGCAGACAGTTGTAGAAACTTCTTCCATAGTTTGGAGCTGTACTCATTTAGTCAACAGAGTTCACCACAATACATTTCAGATGTACAGTGTTTACACCGCCGACCCGTCATAAAATAGTGGGACCTTCAGCTCCCTCCAATACGTTCCAAACAGAGCCAAAGTGATCTACTACTTTAGTGTTACATTTGTGCTCATGTGCGCAGCTAAAACTGGATCCTTTTAAATTTTGTCCGATTTTGTCCAATCCAACTAAACGTTAGTGCTGCTCTGTTATCAAGTTATTTCATAACCTAATATGGAATTCCTGGCCTACCTTGAATATACCAGTGGGCATGTTTACCTTATTTACTCCCTGAAATGATTCTTTCACAATATTTATTCAGCCTCCCCATCGTTACCCTCGGCAACCCCATTATATTTCCTGTGAAGATCTCGCTGTTGGCACTTCCCAGTAAAGGCATTGGTGAAATGTAACATAACAGACTGCTACAATATCTTTCTCCTTGCACAGCTTTTTAATCGGCTTTGAGAGACTATTCATTTTTCAAATTGTCCCAGAAGTAATAAAAAAGTAGATAATTTTGGTTCATCCAACGCTGCATCTGGATGATGGTCCGATTCGGCTGTACTTTCTACACGGGCAGAGAAAACCAGTGCTGGGGGAAGACAGCAGCTGGCCAGGGTCTGTGCTGGAGGTAAGGGAGGATGACAAGCAGGCTTAACTTAAAACAGCTTTTTTAAAGCCACCTATAATCCTCTTAAAATTATTTCTTATTTCATCCTTTTTTAGTGTTATTTATATGTTATATTCCTTTTTAATAGGAAAAGCTTTGCGTCGGCTGCACTTCTACGTCACCATTGGTCCCTGATTGGCCAAATGCAGATCCTGTTGTACTGAAATATTGAAAAAGCATCAATCAGTTTGTTAAATTGGGAGATTTTATGAAATTCCTAGATAACTGGTTATTATTTGAACTCTTAAATGCTTTGCAGCAGAACCCACTGTTTAGTAATTTCTTAATGAGGTGACGCCACTCTGTTGTAAGAGTAAACAAGGAAAAGAATATCTCATATTCTGCAATGTAAAAGAGGATCAACTGACTCTAAAAATGTTACTCTCACCAGTTCATTTAGGTCTGTTGTCTAAAACACGGATCAGAAACAGTTAATAGGTAAAATCCCGCAGGTGATATAGTGTAACATGTCTGAACTGTCAGCTCAGCAGGTAAAGAGGCCATACAGTAAAGACTTAAAGTAAAAAGTATGTCAACACTTCTGATCAAACTGCCAGTAACTTTAAAAACATGAATGATTATCATTATCTTGGCTGTAATGGCTGGCTTAATTGCTCACCTGCCTTACTCTGTCCGGTTTACAATAATTGCTCATCCGATCCACCTGCTCCTGCTACTATTTAAACTGCTCTGTCCCAGCCATCATGGCCAGATTACTGCTCTTGCCTGTTGTGCTTGTTCTCATGGGCCAGGGGAGAGAGCGTTTTTAGTGTTCAGTAGTGTTACTAAGATTTCCTGATCCTGATCTGTCTCTCATCTACTGAGAGCATCTGCTCCTATCTGGTCTCTGTTGAGAGAGCAGCCTTTTAGTGTTCCGTAGTGTTCCTGATATCCTGACCTGTTCTGCCTCTCACCCACTGAGCCTGCCTGTTCCCATCCTTCTCCATCAGATTATCATAGTAGCTAACCTGTATTTTTCTCCAACCAGATTTTCCAGAGAGGGACAGTGCTCATACTGTGGATCGATAGCCAGCGCTGTTTTCAATAAAGCTTTTGAGTTATCCCACTGCCTGTTTCGTCTTGAATACTGGGTCCTTCTGATTCCTGACAATGATTAAAAGAGTTCCTTAGAATGCAAACAAAAAAATATGGCTCTTTTGACAGACTGAGGGAAATATGATATGACAGGTGACTTTATGAACATGATTACAGACCATGGCATTGTCATAATAGTGATAAGAAGCAATGCCGAATGACAATTCCAATTCCCTATTTAAAGTACTGCAATCCTAATTCATGCATTTAAACAACATCCAAGGTGTTGGAGTGTTTTACAGTCCATATTCTTCCAGATCCAGGTGGATCACAACTTAATCTATAAGGACTATAGATTCAGATGCTTTTAGATGCTACCTAGTAGTGATGCGTTTCTTTTAAACCCAAAACTTCTGTTTCCGAAATATTTCACTTTCTTGTTAGATCTAACACTTTCGTGTTAGATCTGAGGCCAGAAATTAGAACATTTATTCTGACCCGTGTATTTATGTTTGCAGAGTTTTGATCAGGCAACCATGTGGTAAATCTCTCCAAACAGCTGTGTTGTAGACCCCGTTTACCACACCTTAACATATCTTGTTTCTTGATGTATTATCAGCCTTTGGTCCTAGAGGCTGCATTTACAGTACATTTTCTAGCAGACAGGCTATGATTCTCAACCATTATGCTGTTATTTTAGAGCACTGTCAGACAAATTTCTTGCCCTTTCTGCTTGGATATCATACAGCCGTGGTGTGCCATATTCACTGTGTAGTAGTGGCCGCTAACTCTGGGACCAGTTCAGAAACAGCCCGTTACGGTTTCATGACAAAGTTATATTTATGATAATACTGGGAATCACAAGGACTTAAGATCTGCTGACAGACCAGGATCTTTGTTTGACTGATTTATAGAGTGTGGAAATTAGAGAAATATATTTCCTTTATTTTGAAACTATTGCCGTTATTTTCTTCCCCACTTTACAGTCAAAGACTTTAACCACTTAACAATGTGGGCTTGTTTACTAACTCCATATGAAGTTCGTAAATGTTAAACTGCTTAAAACTGAACCTTACCCGATTTCATTCTATGTTTATATTCCATTTGGATGTTGTGGCCTGTTCTTTTTGTGCCTGCTGGTTGTACCTGACATGTATTATATCTAAATCCACACACTTCAATAACTTTAGAGTCAAGAATGCTTCTTTGAATCTGTTAAATACATTGGCTTAAGGCGGGCATACACTGTACATGCTTTTGCCCTTTTCCGGCCGATTCTTTAGTTATATGAGAATTTTTTGGATCAGGCCGGGTTTCAGCTTCACGGTGCGTCCTGCATTGTGTAGTACACAGGGGGCAATGAGTGGAGATTTGCATCTCAGGGCCACATTCCAATCAGGAATCGTTAAATCAAGAGAAATACAAACATGTTTGAAATTCAGTCACCCTGTTGAGGTGGTCGTGGGCAAATTCTGCTGTTGAAGCAGAGCTAGAAGCCAATTTACCAGTTTTATACTGTTTTATAAGCTTTTAAGTGTGGTAACTTCTTATCAGGTCATATGATACCTTATGATTCCTGGGGTCATTCTGGCCCATTTGTCGAATTTGGAATCATGGAGTTGAAATTGTTAATTTTCTCTTTAGTGTGCAGACCTGTTAAAGGGTATTTTGCTTTAAATAAATTATTCCATACAAGCTTTGGGAAGATTTATAACGCACTACATAAGAGTTGTAATTGCAAAAAACCAAAAAAACTAACTGACTTCTGATCAAACAAATTAAGTATACAGCAGGGCCTATATCATTAAACATACAGCATGAAGGTACAAATGTTAAAAGAGGATTTTAATTTGGAATTATGAGATCTTTAGATTGTTATTTTAGCAAAGTTCACAGTTCTGGCGAATATAGAAAACTGCATGATAGGACCTTTACAATTCCCATGATAATTGGTTTAGTTCTGAATATCGGTCATTGTGATGCATGATAAGATAAAGTTTTATGAGAAATTCATGAGTAGGACTTTGTAATATAAGCACTCTCCCCTTTTTTCTGCCAAAAACATAATCTAAATTATTGTTTGGAGTTTAGGACACGGTTAATCTAAAACCCTGACACAGCTGATTAACTCAACAGGCAAAGATGATTTGAAAACACACTTTTGATCTTTGGATTCCAGATCAGTTTAGGACATATTATATCTATAATTTCAACTACTTCAATCATACAGACAGGCTGACTGGAAGCATGCAAATAGGGTTTAAAGGATCAAAGTGCAAATGGGATTATATAGTGTGCAAGTACAGGGGATAAACATCTGGCACACTCACTGAGGACTGGAAGATTGCGGTTTGTACTGTGCAGCCAGCCCTTCCCAGTAGTACTCAAGGCTGGGAAAGAAACTAAGTGGACTCCTGTAGAGGTGGGAAGATGAGACAATATGAGGTACAGAACGGACTAAACAGGGTCTGTTCATGAAAGTAGAGAAAGAGAATGTTTTCTTAAAATGGAAAATTCACCATTTACTTAGAGAACATCTGACTTGAATGAAGAGACGAGTAAAAGAAAGTGATCCCAGAACAAGAATAAAACAGCTAGAACTATTTCTATGCTACTGCAACAAAATCCTTATATTAAAGTATTTTCTAACATCGGAATCTATAATCTTCAAGCATATATTTGTCAGGACCAAGGAAGTGCTTAGTTAAAAAGTTTAACATTTGATCAAAGAAATATATATATTTTTTTAAGTTTTACACCAGATTTGGTTGTCCTTTTAAATGGTGATGTCTACGTACTGATCAGCAGCACAACCAAACTGTTGACTCATTGTCAGCTGACTGATAGGTTGCTGAAGAAATGCACTATCCAAGGTGGCTACATGTTGGAAAAAGAACTTTGGTTGCTTCTTGTGGCTTAAATGTTCTTATTTATTTATTTTATCCCCTCTGGTGTTCGATATCTTGTTGGAGGAAGGATTTTTGCTAACATCTTATCTTGAGTCATTTATACATAACTGTTGCAAACATTTGTTGCTAATTAACATCTAAAAGGCTGAGATAATATTCGAACGACATTCTTGAGTCACTGATAAATTGAAAAAGAGTCACCAGGGAGACCTGCTATGGATTGGCGACCTTGACAGCTGGAGATAGGCACCAGCACCTCTCGTGACCCCAGAAGTTGATAAGTGTGACAGAAAATGGACAGATGGATGGATGGACACCAGAGAGACTCCCACCCAGACATGGTGGGGAAACGGCGTCCAAAGACTTGCTACAATGAAAGGCACATTAGCCAGAATCCTAACGTTTAGAACAAACAGATTGCTAATCTGTAGCACTCTAGTTTTACACATCATCAATCTGGAACTGCTCACATCAAATTTGTTTGGAAAAATGAAAACTCTGTTTCCTTTTACATAGTTGCCTTTGATAGATGACTGAGCCGCTGCTACTCTGATCATCTGTGTTTTAAATAAATGCTTTTGAATTATCCCATTGTCTGTTTTGCCTGAAATACTGGGTCCTCTGTTCTGAGTCCTAACAACAACCAGTGCCTGGATTTTGGTTGCAGCCAATCATAGTGACAAATGAAATATGAGGATGTCATGAGAAACCATGGGGCCACGGCATCATCACCAAAGTCCTGAAGGCCTACAGAGAGCAGCTCTTTGGGATTTTACAGCCCCCCTTCAACCTCTGCTTGATACAGTGGACAGTTCCAATGATGTGGAAAATGTCCTGCCTTGTTCCAGTATCAAAGAAAACTCGTCAGTCCTGACTACCTCAACAGTGACCTGGATTAAGGACAACCTGAGAACAGTTTGTGAGACTAATGGGTCAACTGTTAACCAGCTAGTCAGCAGCAAAGGAGCATAACAGGGGAAGGTACTCTCACCATTTCTTTTTACTCCGTAAACCTCTGACTTCCAGGAAAGAGAGTCCTATAATCTGCAGAAAGACTAGGATGACTCTTCAGATGCCGGGGTACAGTAGACACCTTCAGTCATCAAGTGCCACTGTCCTGCAGCTTTTGCAAACCTCCAACAAACCTGAAACCAATGGTTAATGGCCTTTGCTAAATGTGCAGACATGCAAAGAGAGGAATGTAACCTTTTGTTTCAGGTGTGTTGCAGGACAGTGACATTTGCACCGATGTTGCCTACCACTGATCTAGAGTTTAGTAACCCGAGAGAAGAGCTAGAATTAAAATAATATGAACTGGCCTAAAAACACATTGAAATCCCCTAGAATGAGCTGGGTGGATATACCTTCAATCATAAATATTTTGTCTACTTTGATTTTCTGAGATCTATATTTTAAATATTTTACACTACAAAAGAGCATTGTTAGATATGAACAAGGTTGTTCACATCTCTGTATTAATTTATTATGTCTACTGCTCTAATGTTCAGACTGCAAACTGATAAAGTTAAAAGGATCCATATCACCTTTCGAGGTATCCGAGGAACAAAATTCAGAATCCTTTAAAGTTTGTTCATTGGATTACCAGGAAAACATGGTCATTTTCGGTCTGAAGCGTTCAAAATAATCTTTAACCACTTTAGCCCAGAGTTCTCCAAGTTTGTGCTCAAAATGAAATGCCTGAGTGACTGTTTCTCAGCAGTGACAAACTCTATTTACATAAACCTCATGTACAAAGTGTGTATATGCACAAAAAACTTGCAGAGAAATATATGAAGTACAACTAGGCATGCACAGAAATTAACATTGTGTATAATTGCTGAAGGTCAATAGAGAAATAACTAATTATAAACTATGAAAAGTAACTGAAATATGATTCCTTTAATTTTTTTTTTCATTAGGGAGCATCAACATTGATTGATTTTTGGTTTGTTCTTTTATGAGTTAAATGACTAGATTAAATGATTAGATTACGGTAAATCACATTTAACCTCAAGCAATAAGGTAACATTATGAAAGATTAGGTCCAGGTATTAGGGCTGTATTAGGGTCAAGGTAGAGATTTTTCTTTTCTATTTCAAGAATAAAGTCGTAACATTATGAGAATAAGTTGTAAAAATTCAGAGAATAAAGTTGCAAGGAGAATAGCCATAAAATTACAAGAATAAAGTCGCAATGAGAGTAGTCACAACATTACGAGAATAGTCATAAAATTACGAGAATAAAGTCTTAAAATTACTAGTATAAAGTCATAAAATTATAACAATAAAGTTGTAACATTACAGGAAAAAAGTTATCACAACGAGAATTGTCATAACATTACAAGAATAAAGTCACAATGAGAGTAGTAACATTACAAGAATAGTCATAAAATTAGAGAATAAAGTCATAAAATTATGAGAATAGTCATAAAATTACAGAATAAAGTCTTAAAATTATGAGAATAAAGTCATAAAATTAACGGAATTAACTAAACTGTTCATAATTTTTTCTTTATGGTAGGGTTAGGGTTAGGGCATTCATAACATGTAGGCGAATCGCTGCCCCCCAGACATCCGCGGTTATATTTTTTATATTTATAAATTTTTTAAAACAAAGCAGAGTGTGTATGACGCCATCTGGCGGAATGCTGGCGTACCAAAAAGAATAAATGATGAACAGTTCAGTTTGTGCCTTCAACTCGTTGCCCATAGGAAGACTTTACCTGGATATAACCTAACGGAATATCTTCAGATCGGCTCTAAATGACACAAAACTCATATGGGTGAGTAGAACATGATGTAATAACGTAAAATCAAGGGCCACATGTAAAAAAAACGGTGTTCCCTTTTAAGTCTTTTAGCAAACCAGCATCAAATTATCAGTATGAGAACTTTGAAACAATTGTGATAGAAGAAATCATGCTGGAAGCTTTCTTTCTAAAAAGGGTTGTAGTATAATGACTTCATTCTCGTAATTTTTTACTTTATCCTCGTCTTTATTCTCATAAAGTTACGACTTTAATCTTGTAATACTATGACCTTATTCTCAAAACTTTACAATGTTAAAACATTATTCTTATAATGTTATGACTTTAATCTTGTATTTAAAAAGAAATCTCTAGCCTGGTCCTAATACTCCGTACAGGGTCCAAACTTTTGGAACCGCCTCCTTGCACTGACAGTATTGTATTGTCTTAGTGTCCCTGATCATGTCCTGTCCCTTATCCACTGAGCTTGCCCTGTTCCTGTTTTGGCTCAGTGGAGGGTGCTAGTTTAAAAGTACCGTAGTTGTCCTGTTTTCATGCCTTGTTCTGCCTCTCAACTACTGAGCTTGCTGGATCCCATCTGAGCATGTCTGCCTAAACTGTCTGTTGGACTCTTGGAACCCTGTACATGTCTGAAATCTCTGTGGACTCCTAGAACCCTGGACCTGCCTGTTCCTGTTCTGACTGGAACCCCTTGCTGGGCTACGGACTCGTGGCCCTCCTGAACTGTTTCCCTGACCTGGCTCTGATTCATGCCTGCTCACTGGGTCTGCAGTATCTGGTTCACTCTGGACGGCTCCTGCTGTATCTCGTTGGCAATCCATCGGCTGGATCCTGCCTCGCTCCAAGGAGTTGGACTGAACTTTTAAACCAAGCAAGTGACTCACATCAATAACCATTGTCTGTCAGATTATCATGATCACTTACATGTGTTTCTCTCTAACCAGAGCTGCCACTGATGGGCGGAGTCCAACAGCTCAGCGTATCATGTATTTTCAATAAACACTTTTTAAGCTATCACTGTCATTTAAGCTATCACTACATTCTGAGCCCTTGACAGTCGCTTTCACACGTTAATATTTCTGGAAGTAAGGAGTAGCTAACCTATGCTAGTGTTAGCTTAGCATCGTTATGACTTCGCTCTCTCCCTACGTTGACTCTTACTTCTTCCTCTCCTCTCTCCTGCTGTCAGTGTCATATGTTCAGCTATTCCTTTGCCTACTTTAGTGATAATGGGATTTGTAATAAGTGTAGTATTTCTCTAGCTTTGGAGGCGAGGGTGTCAGAGTTAGAATAGGCTTTGGGCTGTTGAACATCCAGGAGTTAGAGTGGGCCCTTTTGTTAAGTGTACAAAGCCACCAAGACCAGGGACACCTCCATGTAGTGGTTCTCCAAATGTGCCTGAGCAGCCAGGCGATTGGGTAACGGTATGCAGAAAGAGTAGTCGTGGATCTCTGCCCACTAGTCACCACCAACCCCATTCACGTTTCTAACCGATTTTCCCCGCTCAGTGACATAGTCAGAAACGTGGCATTAGAGAGACTAGGGACCATAGTCAAATATTTGCCCGGAGCCAGAACGGGCGACATCAAATCCTACTTGAATCTGCTGGCTAAGGTTAAATACAGTAAGATTGTTATTCACGCTGGCGGTAATGACACCCTGTTACGCCGATCAGGAGTCACTAAAATTAGTGTTGCTTCTGTGTGTAAGTTTGCCAAAACAATGTCGGAATCCGTAATTTTCTCTGGTCCCCTCCCTGATCTGACCATTTCAACTCAGTTTATTTCTATAGCGCCAATTCACAACACGTCATCTCAAGGCACTTTACAGCAGCGGTCCCCGACCACCGGGCCGCGGACCGGTACCGGTCCGTCGGTCATTTGGTACCGGGCCGCAGAGAAAAAAGTATATATATATTAAATTTATCGATCAGAGTCTCAGTGATGTTTTATTTTGAAAAATATAAAAAAATTGCGGTATTCTCTCCCAGTTACATCAGTCGGTGCATCTGTGCCTCTTGACACAGGTTAATTCAGTTCAAGACTCATCCTATCTATAACATCCTATCTTTGTGAAGCGGGATTTTCTGTGGTTACAGCGACCAAAACAAAGCTACGGAGCAGACTGGACATCAGGAGCACACTTCGTGTGTCATTGTCTTCGATTACGCCTAGATGGGACTGGCTTATTTCAGGGAAACAAGCTCAGGGTTCCCACTAATTCAACATAACGGTGAGTTTTATTTTTACGCTGTTTGTATTTGATTTTATGCCAGTCGTATCATTTTACTTGATCATATCCCATCTCTGGTATAGGGGTTGACCGGAGTGGATGAGACGGTCGCAACCCTGCCCCTACTAAGTAGGTGAGAGGGCTTTGGTTGTTGTCTTAACCAATGAGCTGAGCCTCACAGACTATGATGCATTCTTAGCTTCCCACTCTCTGGGACTCCATCATCCTACAGGAGACTTCAACTCCCATTTGAAAATCAACAGCGATACCTTAAGGCGGATTTCTTCAATTTCTGCATTTTTTTTCACTAATTGAAATGTCTTTAAATACACATCAACATGAATTCAACACACTATAGTAAACAGATCAATGGAGCAGAAGATGTCTTTTAGTCATCAATGCACACATTCAGCGACACACAGGAGCTCTTTGAACCTGGGAACCATTTCATTCACAACACCTGTCCCATCAACCAGGAATCAGAAATACTTTAATAATCCCAGGGAGAAATTACTTTTATTACATTACTCCATTTGTAATAGAGTGACTATAGGACCAGTTTGATAGAACACAATTTCATACAATATATATATATAATTAGGGGTCCCTGCTCCATCTCGCCATCAGTTTGGGGGTCTTTGGCCTGGAAAATGTTGAAAACCCCTGCCTTAAGCGATTGGGAGATTAGTCTCTAAACCTGTTTAATTTTCTGGACCTTTATTCAAGTCATATGTTGTTCATGTTCAAGCATAACATCTTCACCGGTGCACTTTGCTCCATGACACCCTAGGCTGAGGGTTTATGACCAAGGTTAATAGCTATATCTTCTGACTTTCAGAGTAATAAGAGAGGCAGAGCTTTCTAATGATTATAACCAAGTTCAATACATTGGAAGAAGAAATCATACAGACTGGCAGGACAAAGCCGGTAGTGAGCATCTGCTGTGAATGTCTGGTGGAGCCCTTGTCAGGGCTAGATTTAACCCCCTCCTCTGAAGAGCTCTTTTGGGAGATGGTTAGATAAAAAGTCTGATTCTCTGATTTACCTTTAATGTAGTACTGTGGTGCCTGCCAAGGCAGCGACCCCAGAACCCCGGTGGTAAAAACAGGCAGTGAGGGACTCCGTGTTGGGATCCGGAGGCTTGCCCACCAGAGGGCGCCAAGGATCCCCTGCTGGGGTTTGTTTTTCTGTTTGGTTTCTGGGTTCTGTCTGCCTTTCTCCTCCAGAGGGCGTTCTGGGTCTCCTGAAGTTGGAACTGACTTCACCAGCTGTTTCTCATCTGCTCATCAGGAGACCAGCATATAAGTAGCGGCAGGACTACACTCCATCGCCAGAGTGTTAAGCCAGTTATGGTTAGCAAAGCCTGAGCCAACCAGCCTGTCTGATTCTCAGACTCCCCTGAAACCAGAACCCTAACCTAATCAGTTTTTGTCTTCTCTGCTTCTTAGGAAGAGACCTGACTGTACCCTGGAACTCTGGAAGAGTTTCTCTGCTGAAATCTGCCTGCCAGCTCTCAGGAGCTCATCTGAAGGATCTAACTGTCTGAACCTGCCTGCCCGCTCTCAAGAAGAGGATCGGAAGAAACTCTGGACCTGAACACTGATAAGTCTGAAGTCGAGCCCTGCCGTTGTTTAGCCCTCTGCAAACTACTAGCCTCTGGACCCTCCTGGTTCCCTCCCTCTGCTGCAAGCCTGAATCACGACACAGGTACAGACCTGCTCAATTCCTCTGACAAGATCAACCGCATCCTGGCTAACCAAACTGTCCCTCTCTACAGAGAACCCTGTGTGACCAGTCCTGGATCTGTTTCCCAGCATCTGTACATTAACATTGTCTTTGTTTTTTAATAAACAGTTAAACTTTTCATCTGATTCCGTGTATGTTCTGCATATGGGTTAGGAACCTAATCCCATCATGACACTCTGTTCAGCTAAAGTAGAGTTAATTTTGCCCCTGGCTGGCTTGTGGGATTCCTGAGGCAGCAAACAGATATCATGAGGCCAGGCATCCTGCTGCAGAGTCGGTTCCAGATGTGGGGAGATGGTAAGCCTGAACGGAAGAAATTGTTGATGTTTGAGGACTCCCTCAACACGATCGTCGTGTCTTCTCTTGTAGAGGCAGAGACTGGATGCTTGAAGTCAGACTTGTTCAAGTCAGAGAGGTGGTTAAAGAAATCAATGGTGCCATGGCTTTGCATGTGGACGAGATCTCATAACTATCTCATGGCCTCTGGATGTGGCTACTGGGGACAGTGCCCATAGGTACTTTGTATGATACTTTCTATGGTTGTACTCAGACTGTACAATGAAACCGCAGGGTTTTAAAGTTTACAGCTCAAGATGTATGTTCTTACACCATACGATCCATCAATCTGATGCGATCTAACTGCTCACAGTGTACATCCAGAAACCAAATGTCTGACTCAGCGCAGAGAGATGACGCTGGTCGGACTTGTGAATCTGGAAGAAGAAGGACTCCCTTGTTTGCATGGACGCAGTGTGCGAGGTTCAGGTAAATCAGCTCTGAGCTCTGCTTCAACAGCAGAAGTTGCCACACAAACATGTTTGTTTTCTCTAGACCTCAGGATTTCTGATCAGGAGGTGGTTGTGAGAGGCCCCTCGTTACCCCCTGTATACCTCATGAATGAAGGGAGTGCGATAAAGCTGAAAATCGGCTAGATGCCAAAAAAATCTTGCACGAGTAGGGGATCGGCCCGAAAGGGCAAAACAGGACACTAACATCTCGTTTGGATAATGTCTCCCACCCCATGCATGAAGCTGGTGCTGAACTGGAGAGCTCCTTCAGGGACAGACTGCTGCACCCTAAATGCACCAGGGAGCGTTATCACAGATCCTTCCTCCCAGCAGCTGGAAGACTCTAGAACCACCACTGTTCCCAACAACCTCAATCAGTTCTTCCATTCATGCTGATTCTGCTCAGTTTCTATCTTAGTCAGTTAAATAAATGCTGCTGTCATTTTGCACATCTCTGCTGCTATTTTCAAATATCCATTACTGGAAAAATGTTCATAGCTGCATATTGGTTATTTATTCTCCAGATGCTCAGTTTTATATTGTTAAAACACTGCAGTACAGTATTTTATTGTTTATCTTTTAACTCTTCACTAGTATGTTATTCTCATACACTTTTCTAAGGTCCACATTTGTGTGATAATGTTTTGCATAAGCTTTTTGCTGCTGTAAACACCAGAATTTCCCCATTGTGGGACAATAAAGGGATTTTCTATTAAATTCCATTCTATTCTATTCTAAAAACTCGTACAGTGTATGCACAGCTTTAGACTGCCAGAATGAAAGGTCCCCTTCACAAAAACAGGTACCAGAGGATGTGTTCCAGCACTATGAGGATCACACTTCCCACCCTCCCCGGGAAGGTCTCTGCCAGGGTGTAGGGGTGGACAGTCTGGGTCTATAGTTCTTATCTAAAACTTTGGGGCCTCTCCTCTTCAGGTCTGAGAGGAGTTCCTGCCTAAGTGGAGGAGTACAACAAATTAAGGGTCCTGTTCTTAAGTGAGGGGATAATTGAACAGGAGGTCAACTGGACCATAGAGGTCCGTTGAGGTGAAGAGAGAGCTGAGCCACAAGGCAAAACTTCCAATTAAGTGGTTGGTTTATGAATCCACCCTGAACTGTGGTCATGAAATCTCTAAAGTTGTACAGGGAAAGTGTTGGAGTCTCCTTATTGATAAGCTTTAATGCTTCCTCTGCTGTATAGACTCACTTCCAAGACTCAGTGCTGCAATCAATATGAAATGTAATCATCAAAATACACAGGATGTTCAAAGCATATAAGCCGACACGCATCACTAGCTTTACATGGGGGGGTAACTCCAGTTTTTATTGGCTGAATTCTACAAATAACCCCTCAGTTTTATTGTTAGACCAAGAATAAAATATTTATATCACACATGTTTAAGTAGATCCCAATAATCACAAACTGAGTGAAATGAAGTGAATTAATGGAATTCAAAATTTGTCCAATCAACTATTTGTAACTGAGTCAGAGAGATGAAAAAATGAGTTAAAAGATCAGTAAAACACCCTCGGGGACAAAGGTGTTAAATAAATGTCACTAAATTATAGTGGATTTAGGATTTGGACAAAAGAAAATGACAAACGTATGGCAGTATGTTCTTTAAACATGACTGATAATTCTCAACTCCTTTTGCAGCTGATAGAGTGAATCCTGTTAGACTGAGATAAAACCTGCAGGATCGCTGCTTTTAGCAGATATGTTGGTGGAGCTTGTTTGCCTTCTTGTTGAACTCCTATTTTTTTTCAATTTTCTTTCGTGTTTATTGAAATGTTTCATAACAGCTATTAGCCAAGGCTTGGATTACTTACGGTGTTTCCATGCTTTTTCTGCAGTGCGTTATGGACAGCGGGGGATCTGGGGAGTTGGAGAAAGACACAAAACAGGGTTAATACCTTTAAACTTTCAAGAGTAAACATGTAAACAGGCAGAGAAGTCAACTTGTTGGAAAGTTAGAAGGAATAAAAAAAAGAAGAAAAGTCTTCAAGAAGAAAAGAAAGAAGATTCTTGCAAAGAAAAAACAATAAATCCTTAAACAAAAGCACTCATAACATGGCACCCATGATGGTCTCATGACAGTAGAGTAAGGGACTCACTCAGGGAGACCTGCCGTGTTTTCTGCTACAGCAAAGGGACCACAGTGGGTGGAATCGACCCCTGAGTGAAACGCATGTGTCTGCAGAGGCTCTGCGACCACACTTGCATTTCTAGACCCCTTTTCTTTCACAACACTTTTTTTATTTTCCATAAAAGACAACATGTGTTGACATACTGCATACAGTATATCCCTTTCCCATTTCACACCTTCTACTTCTCTCTTAGACTATTTAAACTGATGGAATTAGTAAATGTCTCCACTGTGAGATCAATATAGTCAATCAATCAATCAATCAATCAATCAATCAATCAATCAATCAATCAATCAATCAATCAATCATATGTCCAGTTTATGATACATATTCATATTCACATTATTTATCGACTACATCTACAAATATCAACGATATTTTCATTTTAAACAAAAATATGAAATAATGCTACAGAACATGCAATGACTTAAATCATGTTGTAGGTCTATAAACTGATGTGACTTAACTAACACATACTGCCTGTAGGGATTTCAAATGTCCAGCAGGTGTCAGAATTCAGTGACACACTATTGATGCAGAGTCAAAAAAAGTTTTTAAATGCTTCATGATGTTTTATCAGCCCATCTGATATGACTGCCTGAAGTCATTTTTCAATTTCATGAGATGATGATACAATAATAAAAAGTTAAACAGGATATTTAGTCAGCATCCTCGCAATCCTGTCATATAAAACATTAGTAGCTGTGGATATGAGAATAAAAAAGTCATACTTGTCATATTTTAAACATAGACTGACCAGTAAATCGAGAGCTTTGGCTTTTTGCTTTCTCTTCACTAAGACAGACCAGTGCAGTTGGTCTCTTTGAGACCAGGAGCTCCATTGCAGGTTGACTGTGCTCCCCGGGCACCACACAATGGCAGTCGACTGCTCCCCAAAGGGATGGGTTAAATGCAGAGGTGAATTTCTCCAGTGTGAGATTAATAAAGTTGAATTATGTATTATTTATTTATGTCTGTGATGGATCATGAGGTGGAACGGTAGTGCTAATAAAGAAAACTTTCTGAATATTAAGGACATCTATAGGCAGTCTGAGAATCCCTTTCCTTATAAATACTACACAGTCCCTGTAAATTAATGCCAAACCTTCTTTTTTGGGTCCTCATGTAAAGCAGATGCTATGTTTGTGTTTTTAACACCTAATGTCTCTAACAGACCTAGTAAATGAGTTTTCTTGTAGTTCGCACAGAACAACAGTATAAATCTACTGACTAAATCAGGAAATAAAGCAGCGCGATGTCATGATCTTAGTGCTGATGACTGGCTAGATTACTCATTTCATTCACCTGCCTAACTCTGCCCAGTTTCTCATTACCGCTCATCTGATCCACCTTCTTCAGCCTCTATCTAACCATCTAACCGGTTATCAGTGCCAGATAATTCTCGAGCCTGTGGTGACTGATCCCCTGCCAGTTCTGTAGTAATCACGGCTTCGGTGTCTGGAACTCGCGTTCGCCTCGTCGCAATGGCAGCCGTTTGGCTGGGACACACCTCTTCCTCTGGGTAGAGACTGAACTTGAACACGTAGTTTAAGGAACAAAATCTGCTGCTGACCAGGTTAGCTCTGTGGAGAATGTTACTATGGTAACCGAAACAGGGTTGAGTGAACTCTCTTTGTGAAATAGAAAAAAGAGTTTCCCTTAGTGCTCAAAAGTTAGAATATATTAGACTTAGACAGATTTATTTTGTCATTTTGTGTACACGAATGTAAGCAGAAAGAAATTTCGTTAAGAACAGCTCTCCAGACAATTAAATTTTTTAAAAGTGCAGCCTTGAAAACACTAAAAAATACATAAAAACAGTAATATAAACATATGACTGTATATTTAGAGTTCTAACATTTTAATTTTTTTTTCGTAATGGTAAATGGTAAATGGCATGTACTTATATAGTGCCTTTTTTCAAGTCGGGAGACCTAACCAAAGCTCTTTACATGACATTCATTCACCCATTCACGCACACACTCACACACTGATGGTGGCAAGCTACATTGTAGCCACAGCTGCCCTGGGGCACACTGACAGAAGCTGGACTGCCGTACACTGGCGCCACCGGGCCCTCTGACCACCATCAGTAGACAATGCAGGTGAAGTGTCTTGCCCAAGGACACAACCATCGTGAAAGTCCGAGTCGGGACTTGAATTGTCGATCCTTTGATTTCAGGGCAAACTCCTACCTCCAACGCCACTGTTGCCTTTAATAATAAATATTAAAAAAAACAGGTGGGCTCTCCTCATCCTCCACAATAAGTACATGTGTTCCTGTCCCCCTTTGACCAGTGAGGTGGTGTTTCCAGTCCAGGTGAGGGTGTCTGTAATGTGCCCCCCCAGGAATTTGGTGCTGCTGACCACCTCTACAGCTGAGCTGTTGATGAGCAGTGGAGCGTGGTTAGGACTAGTGTTGCACCGATACCGATACCAGTATCGGATGGGGCCCCAATACTGCCCTAAAATGGTGGTATCGGTATCGGCGAGTACCGACAAATAGGGCACCGATACCATTTTGAGAGCCATAAGTTTATTTAACTATTGTCACCCACTCCTGGTAGGCAATAAAAAGTTCTACTGGATTCACTTTGTATTAGACAGCAGGGGGCTCAGGACGCAGCCTGAGGGGAGGGGCTTAGACTGATGACATCAGAGGTGTTCTGTCCAACCCGGACTGACTGAGGTCTGTTGGTGAGGAAGTCTAGCAGCCAATAGCAGAGGGGTGTATTGAAGCCCTGCTGTTCCAGTTTGCCCATCAGATGCTGTGGGATGATGGTGCTGAAAGCTGAACTGAAGTCGAGGAACAGCATCCGCACCTGGGTGTTCTTCTCCTCCAGGTGTGCCAGGCTCAGGTGTAGAGCAGCAGAGATGGCGTCCTCAGTGGAGCGGTTTCGTCGGTCGGCAAACTGGAACGGGTCGAATGTTGGCGGCAGACTGGAGACGATGTGTTCTTTAACCAGCCTTTGGAAGCACTTCATCATGATTGGAGTCATGATGAAGTGTCGTGACCTGAGGCTTCTTTGGGACTGGAATGGTGTTGGCATACTTAAAGCATGCTGGCACTACGTATCCCCATGTGTCTGTGAGGACACCAGCCAGCTGATCTGCACACTCCTTATACACCCTTCCAGGTATGTTATCAGGCCCTGGGGCCTTCCTTTTATTGACTCTCATCAGAGTTTTCCTCACTTCAGCTACGTCCAGGTTTAGTGCCTCCTCCCCCTGGTGTGGAACAGCTTTCACTGCTGGAGGCTGTTTAGTGCCTCAAACCGTCCAAAGAAGTTGTTCAGTTCATTTAGGAAGTCAGTCTTTGCTGCATCTACCGGGGGGGAGGGTGTGTGGTAGTTCGTGATCATCCGAAGTATTGTTAATTATTTAAAAATATTTTATCTCTTTAATTATTCATTTTCATTGCCTTTAATACCCAGGTTCATCTTTTTTTCCCACACAACACTATTTTTATCTACTTTTCTCTCCTTTTCCTGTTTTGCTTATGAACAACACTTTAAATCGTCATCCATCCATTTTCTCGTGCTTAGTCCTTGTCAGTGTCACGGCGGGACTGGTGCCTATCTCCAGCTGTCTAAGAGCCAGAGGCGGGGTCCACCCTGGACAGGTTGCCAGTCCATCGCAGGGCAACACAGAGACACACAACCACTCACACACACACTCATACCTAAGGAGAATTTAGGAGAAGTCAATTAACCTAACAGTCATGTTTTTGGACGGTGGGAGGAAGCCGGAGTACCCGGAGAGAACCCACGCATGCTCAGGGAGAACATGAAAACTGAAAGATGGACAGGAGTCAAGGCAAGGCAACAACCCTACCCACTGCGCCACGGTAAGATTGAATTGTCTTGTCACTGAAATGTGATTTATAAATGCTTGTATTGTGAACTCCTCCAACTATTTTCTTACCTTAGTGTTTTTTTATCTGTTTAAAATAAGCAGATTAAAGTACATCTTTAATAACAGAATAACTAAAAAAGTCTTCAATGAAAGGATTAATTACAGAGAAAGGAATTAGTCCAAGAAATGGCAATATTTGGTGATTTAAAATTGCTGCCCTCACCTTTTCTCCTCTTGAGCTTCTTCCGCCGCTGCTTGTTGACAAAGCATGCAGCCATCGTACTGAAGAGGACGGCTGCAGCCAGGAAGCAGATGGTGGCCACGATGCCAGCCACCACAGGCCGCGTCAGTCCACGCTCCTCACTCTCTGGAGGGGGGAAGAAGTCTGCAGGGAAACAATTCGGAAACTTATTATTGCGTGACAGAGACATAAGCAGCTTTTGGCTAAGATGCTGCCTTTACTTAAAAATTAGAATAGAAAATCACTTTACCCCCATTGTGGGACAATAAAGGAATTTTCTATTCTATTATATTCTAATGACAAATTGAGCAGTTTTCTTAAGCAGTTTAACAAGACATTGGAGCAGTTTAGTCTTGTGCTTTAGCTTTCATAATAATGACTGATTTTGCTTCACATTCCGAGCTGATATTTGCCTTGATATGACCACCCAGATATGAGCACCCAGCATCGTTCTTCCTAAGAGGTGCTCTGATTAACCAGGAGGGATTCTCAGGGTGATTTCTAGACTTCCTGTTCTCCCATCAACTTGCTCGTTATTGACACATTTGTAAAAGTCAATCTTTTGAAGACGTTAAACTGTAAAAAAAAACTCAGCGTAAATCAGTATAGAGATTTTTTTTGGATCATATTAATCTTGAGACAGCATCTGCACCCCATTAGACCCTTCTCTCTGGGCTCCCTAGAACGGCTCCATCACTTAATGGAGTGAGGGGCTGTGGGACGCGTCCTGCGGGGCGCAGGAGCTGGTTTTGGGGGGTCCCTCGGTCCTGGGGCTCTGGGGGGTGCTCGGAGTGGGGTGCCTGGCAGATCTGACCCCGGAGTCTGTTGCCCCCATCGGGGCAGGGCTTGGGATGCCTTGGGGCATCCTACAGCGGCCACTTGCGATGCTCTTGAGGAGTTCCGTGACGACGGACATGGGTTACTGGCCTGGTAGCTGAGCAGCTGCAATGTGGGTCCGGGGCGTCTGGGATCCCTGGGGTGCGGTGCCCTTGGGTGGGTTCCCCTGCACGGCACCGGGGATTCGGGTTCTGCAGGGTGTGTTGCTTGTGGTCTGGGCCGGTGTAGGCCCGGCTGTTGCTGGCCACCAAGCTGTTGGCCATGGTGGCCAGCTGGCTTATTTCGTAGGCCTCACCTCGGTTGGCTCCCCCCACCCCCTCTCACATTTAAACATTGCGGGTTCCGGGTTGTCTTTTGGGGGGGTCCGCCGGTCCTCCGGGGGGGGGGGGACTGTGCCGGACACCCTCTTTTGGTAATCCCAGTTTTAATTACACCCGAGAGCAACACGCAACAAGGCAACATTTGAGCAGGCGCGGGGAAGATCGGGGTCTTTCTCTGGATGCCGTCTGGAGTCCGGGGCCTGGAGGAAGAGCGAGCCCCTGGTCCTGGGTCTTGGCGGTGGTCAGCTGCGGGGCCTTGGTAGCCTGCCGGTGCTGTCATCCAGTATATCGGGAACTGGTCACTGGCGCCACCAGGTCCTCGGTCCTGGGATTATTGGATGTGAGTGTTATGTGTGAATGTGTGTCTGCGTTTTTTGTTTTGTTCCTTTTCACTATGTGTTGCGAGTGGGGGCACTAGGGTGGGAAGGCGTGGTTGAGACTGTGAACCCTTTTTTAAATTTCTTTTCTCTTTACTTGTCAGGTTGGGGTCTGAACTGCTCCCTCTCCCAAGCACATCTCAATTCTCCGCTAAGTATGGAGCCCATTCCCCCCATCCTGCCCTCCCTCTGCTTAGTGTTTGGCGGTGGAGGGGGGTGATGCCCGGGCGGGTACTGGCTTATTCCTGGCAGCTGCTCCGCGGGGCCTGATCAACCGAGGACAGGTCGGGGCTACTGCCGGGGGGTTGGGGCGCTACTTCGGGGTGGCTGGCTGCTGGCGGAGCCCGC